GAACCAACAAGGTCATGTGATGATATGAAGTGCATCATATCATTTGGTGATTGATTGGTGCATGTGTTGCATCAACATCGAAGGAGATGGAATGGAATGCGCAAGTCAAAGGTATAACCTAGGGCATTTCATTTCACCGGTCAATGGTTGTGTAGAGAAGTGAATGACCGGGTTTAGGATAGATGGCCATACTATTAAGAGGAGCAAACTTGTTTGTATATCGGTCATCTAGTGCCACTTGAGCGATCTAACTTTGCATACGTGTTAGGATCGAGTGGCATTGAGAAAAGAGTGTTAATCCTTTGGAAAAATATTTGTGAAAAGCTAACACACGTGCATAAGTTGGTGAACACTTGGTGGTGTTAGCACACTTGCAAAGGAGAAGTCGAAAGGTAAAGAAAGGAGGTGAAACAGGGCTTGGAGTGGTGCCCGAGGGCACCGCCACCCCTTGTCCGGTGCACTGCCACCCTTGTGGCGGTGACCGGCTGGAGAAGGCCGAGAGGAGCTGGTGCTAGGCCTGGCACCGCTAGTGGCAATGTGCACCATCCCTGGGACGATGGTGCACCGCTAGGGTGTGTCCGGTGCCACCGCCATGGGCACCGCCCCTTTATTCCCGAGAGCAGACGAGTGGGGTTGGTCATCGGACAGGGCACCGCCACCCTATGTCCAGTGTCACCACCACTATTTTCCAAAGAGGGGGTATTTCGTGTGACTGGCTGGTGGTCGCCACCCCTAGGGCGGTGCCACCGCCACCCCTGTCCGGTGCCCATGACCAGTCAACCTAGCCATTATGTGACCGTTGAAGGGGAACCGCCACCCCTAGGGTGGTGCCGCCACCACCGTGTCTGGTGCCCTCACATAAAAGGGATCTTTGCTCCAACATCTCTATTTGGCTTAGGGGCTATAAATAGAGGTGGAGCTTGGGTATTTGGCTAGTTGAGCACACTTGGGACTAAGTGTCCATGCTTAGGGAGTGCTTGGGAGCCCTCTAACTCACTTGTGCTTGATACTGATCATCCAATCGAGTGAGTGAGCGATTCTAGTGTGATTGCATTGTGAGGTTGCATCAAGTGGCACTAAGTGATCGAGTTGCAAGCCGGTGGTGCTTGTTACTCTTGAAGGTTGCCACCTCCTAGATGACTTTGTGGCTTATGACTCCATTGAAGCACGCGAGAAGATTGTGTGGTGCTCCGGAAGGAGGATTTGTGAGGGGCATTGTGCTCACCCCGCAGGGATCGCAAAGAGCAACTCTAGTCGAGCGTGTCATTGAGCTACCCTCACTTAGTTTGTGATGTTCTTGCGGTGTCCAACGTGTGGACGAGGTTTGTGCAACACCTCTTAGCCACCGAACCATCAAATGAGCAGTCAACACAATGGGGACGTAGCTTGGTAGCAACCAAGTGAACCTTAAGAGAAAATCATTGTGTCAACCTTGTATTCCTATTGGTTTGCATCCCCATTACACAAGCTTGTATTTACTTTCACATACATTGTGCTTATGTAGTTGCTCTTGCAATTAGTTAGCTTGTGTAGCTTGGTTGTTACCTTCTTGCTTGTGTAGCTAGAAGTAGCTCCCGTTGCGTGACTAATTTATTTTGTGTAACCTTGTTAGTCACATTGCTTAGTTTATGTAGCTAAGTAATTTGCGCTTTATAATTTGGCATTGGTTGTCTTGTTTCTTGAGCATTGCTAGTGAGCTTAGGAGCTTTATGCTTTTGCTTACTAGTTGTGTAGGAGCTCCTCGGTGTGCAAAGTACTAGTGGTATAGGTTTGTGTGACCTTGCTCTTATAATTAGTTAGGTGAGCACTTGCTAGCCCGGCATATTTTTTCTTAACTAGGATCTTTTATAAAGTGCTTGAGAACTTAGAGGGGTGTAGTCTTGGCTAGACTGATAGTTTTAATTCCATATTTGTTTCGGTTAGGCGGCGCGATTAATTTTAGAAAAAATTATTCACCTCCTCTCTAGTACGTTATCTTGACCCTACAACAGGTGGAGGGCCAAGGGTGTCAACTTGCCCCATAGGTCATGGTGTTGGGACCTAGGTTTCGGGTTAGATGGGGATGCTAGACCCTGTGATAGGATTGAAAAGGGCTAGTCTTGTCTGAGCTGGTGTTCAGGCAAGACATGTGTTCAGTGTGCCCAGCTAGGAGTCATCAATTCGCGAATCCCCATTTCATTTGAAATGGTACCTGCTTAATTGACTATGCTATGACACCATAGTAAGAACTAGAACAGAAAAGTAAAAAGATTATGATTGCTTACCACATGCTTGAAAGTAGCATAGGTGCTCACCTAGATCCCATTTGGCACAGCTTAACTTCACCATTGGAGCCGTTTTTTTGGAAAACAGCTTTACAAGCAACTTTCTCTATGAAGTTGAGTGGTTTTGGAAAAGTTGTTTAGCAAAACAGCTCTATCAACAGCTTCATGCATGACTGAGAGAGGAAAATAAGGAAGAGAGCTATAAAAAGCTACTTTTTCAGCTTCACTTTTTTTCCATTCCTTTGTGCATGAGAGCATAAAAAAAGGAGCTTCAACGTGAAGCTATTTTGAAAAAGAATGTTTGACAAAAAAAACAGCTCATGAAATTGATGGTGAAGTTGTGCCAAATGAGGCCCTAGAATGGTGCATAGTTTTATAGAGTAGTTTAATTTATGGTTTTTCTAGTTATAATTTAGTTTGAACTCTTAGAATTAGTTTGATTAGACACCCAATTCACCCTACTTAGGTGTTCATAGGATCTTTCAGTGACTCAAAATGCTAGTTCTTCATAATTTAATCTGGGACATGCTGTTCTTAAAATATTAGTATTTTTGGTTATTAAAATAAAAAAATCTCAATGACTTTCATCCTAGATATAAAAAAGAGAGACAAAAAATACAGGTGAATTTGATGTAGGACATCTTCAATGTTGGTATTTGTTGATGGGAAATAGTCAATATTGTTTTTGCTAGAGGACATCCTTCAATTTTGACAATTGGCTCTTAGACACTGTACCCTTAGAATAATTTTGTTAGGAGTAGATGGATCGAAATTAAAAGTGACTATTATGCCCCTAATTATTATATCATAACCCTTAATAGCTATCTTAAAAATCCATATCTTTCGCATATGAAGTCGGACGAAGATGAACTAAAGCTCAATGAAATCTATAACCTTGTACTTGATAAGTTTTAATTTTATATTATTTAGAGTGCCAAAATTTTATTTTTAAATTCTCAGAATTTTAAATTCAAAATTAAAATTTTCAAATGACCTCAAATGTCTACGCGTCATCTATACAAAAGTTGTAGTATAATTTTATAGTCAATAAATTTTTTATCCAAAGTCATTTAGAGTCCTAAATATGTTTTTTATTTTCTTAGATTTAGAAATTCAAATTTTTGATTTTTCAAACGACTTCAACTGAAGCCATTTGAAAATTATAAATCTCAAATTTTGAAATCTAAGAAAAAAAAGATTATTTAGGACTCAAAATGACTACAAATAAGAAATGTCAATTATAAAGTTATAAATTATATTGATAACTGTAACATTTGTATAAAACCATGTCAACATCTGAGGTTGTTTGAAAATAATAAATTTTGAATTCCAAAATATGAGAAGTTAAAAAGAATTTTTGGCACTCTAAATAATTGCAAATACAAACTTGTTAACCACGAAGTTATAGATCTCGATGAGTTCTACAATTTTGATATAACATTCATCTTTATCCAACTTCAAATGAAAACATCATGTTTATTAATAACTATATAACAGTAGAATATAGTGTTTACGTTCAACTTTTCTTCCACCTACTCTTAAAAAAAATTAATAGATATAGCATCCAAGAGCTAATTGCTATAAGTAAAGAGTTCTCTAGCAAAGATTAATTTATATTTATATTCTATATCTCTTATAATCCTAAGCCCCCACTACAACTCTATCTAATATACAAGACATCCACGCCAACAATCTACTAGCACGGACAATTATGACACTTATCTATTCATGCAAGCAATACACGTCATTATGCCACATCACCCAATAAAATTCACTCGTGATTCCCGCAGCAACACGCTGGGTATGCTTCTAGTATTAGTAAGTTTATCTACATTGATTTATCAAAAAAAAGTTTATCTACATTGAAAGATGTTTCACACAATTTTTCACCACTCCACTAGCATATACAATTATGACAATTATGTATTCATGAAAGCAATCCACGTCACCCTGTCACATTAGAGCAGTCCCAATGAAAGAAACTAGTAGTTTCTATAACATAGGATACCGCATCAAAATAATATTGCTTTCCAACCCATGGTTTCTATGAGTAATAATTATTTTCTCTTTCTCTCTCCCAACTCTATCTTCTTCCTCCAATGGAAATGCGACACGAGCTCCCTAGAAACTGGTGATTTCTCCCCAACAGCGATTTCATGGTTTCTTGGTGCATTGGGTCAAGAGTAGACCTGATTTTTTCATGAAGAAATTATTTCTATGATTTTTGCTCTCTTTCTTCATTAATTGTGTTGCCATATCAATGTTTTGACTACGTGACAAGTCATTTAATGAAGATAAAAACCATCAACAATATACCATTAGGATTCACTAAAATTCACTCGCGATTCTGGTAGCAACGTGCGAGTTATGTATCTAATACTGATGAAATTTGTCTACATTGAAAGAGGTTTCACACGATCTTTTTTAGTTATTAAAGAAAACACAACCACAGCACATCTGCTCCGGCTCACCAACTCTCTGATACGTTTACTCTAAAAAAAACTCTCTGATACGATGGACCCACTAGGCCACTACCTCGCCGCCAAGAACCAATCCCTCCGAGTCAATCGTGAATGTCAAGAACAACTCTTAGAAGGATAACAAAAATAAATGAATGAACAAGAAAAGGGGAAAGTAACGAGGCGGTTTGTCATTGAAAGACTCCCCGAAACCCAAACTAACCCTTCCAATTCCAATCCAAGGGTGCGAGGAGAGCTGCTAGCCGCCGCAGCCGCCATGTCGGGAGGAATCGCGCGCGGCCGCCTCGCCGAGGAGCGCAAGGCCTGGCGCAAGAACCACCCCCACGTCCGTGCCTGACTTTCGATCCCCTCTCCCTTTGTCTCTATCTCTCGTGCCGCCGCCCGATTCAAGTCTCGATCTGATCTCCTTCATCTTCTGCAGGGTTTCGTGGCGAGGCCAGAGACGCTAGCCGATGGGTCGGCGAACCTCATGGTCTGGAACTGTACCATCCCCGGCAAGCAGGGGGTAAGCCCCGGTAACCCGCTGGATTCGATTTGACCCGGTTAGGTAGTATAATTGTAATCAAGCTCGATAGGATTTTTAGGGAAACACGATGTTGCGATGTGTGCATCAACGCCCTTGTGCAGTTTTGCTCCATGATGAATTTTAATTATTTTATTTTATTTTCCCCACACATGATCTATGGTTTTTATTATTTCTTGACTGTATTGCTTATTGAATAGCTAAGGATTTCTATATTAGGAACTGTGCGTTCTACTTCTTTTGATTCAAATACAAGCTAAAAGAATTACTAAGACTTTTCCTCACACGATTTGCCTTTTAAGTGTTTCATTATCGTTTCGTAGTTGGAACCCATGGTAGAAAGTTGGAAAATCATGTTGACTATGTATTTCTTTTTTGTCCCAGTAATTCATGTCAATAGATTTAGAATACCAGTGTGTTGTAGGAATTAAGAATTATATGCCACCTCCACCACTCTACCAACATGTAGTCACATTGGCATGCTGTTTTGTAGTGGTTTCTAGCTCCATAACTCCGTGATATTCTTTTCATCCCCTGATCCTGGCAAAATGTTTGTTTGTTCCTATTTTGTAGCATGTATGTATGTGTACTATTTGTAAACAATCTCGAAACTTTGATCTACAGTATCTTTTGCTGATTACTTCCCAGCACTCTGGAATGTTTTCAGGTCCAGTGTCCATTTTGTTTTGACTGTTGTACCCTTTCACTTTGGAACCTTACATTTCATTTGTTTCTAACTATCCTCTCTTCTATGCAGACTGATTGGGAAAGTGGGTACTACCCACTTACCCTTCATTTCAGTGAAGACTACCCAAGCAAGCCTCCCAAATGCAAGTTCCCACAGGGTTTTTTCCACCCAAATGTTTATCCTTCAGGAACAGTCTGCCTCTCAATTCTCAATGAGGATAGTGTAAGTGTTCAAACTGTATTTCACAGGCTTTGTCTAGCATTATGCCTGCTGAGAATTTTTCACTTCTCATTGTACAATTTCAGGGTTGGAGACCTGCTATCACTGTTAAGCAGATTCTAGTTGGAATACAGGACTTGCTTGATCAGCCCAATCCCGCTGATCCTGCTCAGACTGATGGTTATCACCTATTCATCCAGGTTCGAAAGAAACTGTGATCATTCGGCTATTTGTTTTTCCTTTCTCTCGAGATTAATCAGCTTTTCTTTCCACCAAACCAAAAAATGCAGGATCCAGCAGAATATAAGCGACGTGTTCGTCTGCAGGCCAAGCAATATCCTGCTCTGGTCTGAGGATGTTGGCACACTAAGAGATCCATGATCCATCCTGCACATCCGCATAGTAGTTGCAACGTGTTAAAATTATGGTCTCAATTTGGATTTGACAAGATATAAGTTGTTTGGAGGATTGCCCAGTGTAAACCTGAACCTTTTATGATGTGTGGGGGGTCCGGTATTGGTAGCAAAAACCGATTCGTTTAATGCTGCAAGTGCTGCAGCCACTGATATTTTGTCTATTTAACTTAAACTATTTGTTGTGTTGGTAGTCTATCTTGAAGACAAATGTTTTGTCTTATCAAAGAAAGTTATCTGCGTTTGTCTATTAAGTTGTACCTTTATAAGAACATGTTATTTAGTGATTACATTGAGACGACATATATAGCATGTACAAATCTACAATGGCTAGGACATGCACACAATACAGAAACGACACCAGGGCACGTCACAGCACTAGATATCGGCTCATTTCGATCGAGCGTGAAGCACCTTGATGTAGGACCCAGCTGAATGGGAAAAAATAATAATAAAGCCAACTTTTCTTACATCCATTTGCTTCTCACTAAAGCTAGACACGGAAGAAAAAACGTGGAGCACTGGGTGCAAAATTCAGCACCCTTGCCAGGGAGTTGCATCTCATTATCCTGTAGTCTTAACTCTAAGGCCTTGGTTGTAGCCCACATTGGCTCCACCGTGGCCCAAGTATTCAACAACTTCTTTTATTATTGTAAGCGATAGGCTAGGTATATGCATTATCCTATACTTGATCAAGTTTAGAAAAACACAATAATAATTAGGCTGGCATCAAATCGGCATGATTAGATATATTTATGAAATGTAGTTTCATAACTTATCTATTTGATACGCTTCTTCACAAGTATGATCAAGCTTAATATAGTTAACTTATGCCAAACTTAGATTCCTTATATTCTAGGACATATAGGAATATAGGATGCGTCGTCTTATGCTTTGGAAATTCCTGCACTTGTCATTCATGTCAATGAGCCGCCCAACCATGACAGTACATGGCAGTTGACGGGTTTAAAATTTCACAATAAATTTTCATGTTGCTTTTGAAAGTGAAGCTCAATTTACATCAACAATGCTCGCGTCAAACCCTCTGCTCCTCATGGATGGGGGCAACGCGCGACGGGCCAGCACAGCACGTGCTAGCTCTTCGAGTGAAATGAAACTACGAAAGCACGTCCTAACTCAAATTACATCATAATATATAGTTAATTGCTAGCTGCCCAAAAGTTATATGCTAACTGCCTGCCCAAAGTCATCACTGCCCTACATCATCACTGCCCAAAGTTAAACTATAGCTAACTAAAGCTAATTGCCCATACATGCATGCATCACTTGTTGTCTGCAGTGGGGGCGTTGAGCTTCTCATCCATAGCACCCACCTTCTTACTGAGGTCGCCGACCTGCCCAGCCACAGCGTCAAGCTTCTCAGCCTTGGCGTCCACCTTCTTACTGAGGTCGTCGACCTGCCCAGGCGCAGCGTCAAGCTTCTCAACCATGGCGTCCACCTTCTTACTAAGGTCGTCAACCTGCCCAGCCGCAGCATCAAGCTTCTCAACCATGACGTCCACCTTCTTACTAAGGTCGTTGACCTGCCCAGCCACAGCGTCAAGCTTCTGCATGATGGTGGCAACAACCTTTGCATCCAGGGCTTCCATGAGGTCAAATGTGGACTTGGAGACCTATGGAAGGGAAAGTTAATTAATTAGATGTTTCAATAAAGAACAAATGTGGACAGTTTAGACATTCGAAGTGTTTCCACTGAAATTATTCTCTTTTTTTTTTTTTTTTTGCGAGTCCGCTGAAATTATTCTCGTAGAAAAGTATTCTACAAGCTGCCAAAGCCATCATTTTACAGAATGCCAATGTATAGATCACAGATGCTTTTAATAGTATACATCAAAAGTAAAGTAACATACAACTGGGTTTTAATTTTTTTTATGGTTCACAAAACACCTCTTTGATACAAGTAGCAACAGTTAATTACCTCTTCACAAAGTGGCTTAAGATTGAGGTCCTTTTCACTGACTTTTCTGTAAACCTTATTCGCCGTCTTCTTAGCTTTAACCTCTTGGTCAGTTTCACTTTCTATGTCAGTCTTTCCTTGGGATATGTTGGTAACTCCATCAGGCTGCAGAGAGAGAGAGAGAGAGTGACATCAAGATGGTTTTTTACTTCAATTTTTGTTTCATTCGATTCGTGTGCGCACCTGGATAAAACCTCTCCAGCCACATTTAGATCTAAAACAGTTCCATGTTGCATTCATACTGAGGAAATGACATACAAGGAACGTCAGACGATAGTTAGATCCTGAAATATATAGCTAAAGAAACAACAGACCAACAAAATCACATATTCAGGTGTGGACAACTCACCCGTCCCTTCGGATGTAGACACTGAGGCTCAAATCCCCCTCACCCTTAGATCCACCATTGCACTAGCGAACAAAAGGAAAGTTATACTTCATTATTTGTCGCTAGATAGCTCAATGATCCAAAATGCAATGGATCACTAAAAAGAAATGATACACCAGTATTGCATGTGGGTTGAAATGTTATCTTGAATCAAGTCAATTTGAAATGTTGAATAGATGGTTTAGAGATGCGTCACCTCTGGGGAACAATTTCTTATCATTCATGTCTTAAATCAGATAGACTGCTTGGTTATAAAGCTAGATATAATTCATGAAAAGACAGTAAACTGGAACAAGCACAAAGGTTGTAAAAAACAGATGCTTCATACCTGTGGGCACAACATGCGCTGAAAATTTCCAAGTTTCCACTGCTTGGGATTAATACCTTCGTTTTTCAACTTCTGAATGAGCTGCCCAAGTCTCTCCTCAGAAGAAGCCGTGTACTTTGCCGAATGAACTGTAATGCAAAAAAAAAAAAAAAACATCGCATCGGTTAAAAAAGAAATATGCTTCTGCATACAGTTGTTATAAGCAGAATGACAATAATTAAATTAAATTGTAAAAAAGTAGATCCTAAGTAGAGGAGAGCACCGAAACTGCAGAAACATTGAAATTCTGAGGCATAGTCTGTGCGTATCACCAATTTTAATTTATAATATACGTCGAACAGGCTAACACCATTTAACTTAAAGTTCTAAACAAACATTTGAGCACGTGCATTGAGCTGTTCTGCTACAAGTCCAATAGGAAGTAGTGGAGTTTGAAGCATTTTTTTTTTCAAGTGTGAGCTCGCTTGGGGCCATAGAAACACAACACTCCTGAGCTATAACGAGCGGCCAAAGATACGACCATTGGCAACGAAATAAATAAAACTTCAAACATGGAAAAATTACCATCCTTTCCCAGGTGCTTAGCTCCCAATCCAAAGCAGTGACACACGCAATCACTTATTTAATTGAAAAAAAAGGGACAGACACAGAGCAACGAATGCTCCACAGCTGGCACAGCGCATTACCGTTCCTCGGGGGGCGCGCGAGGAGTGGAGGGCGGGATGCGGGGGCGTACCGCGGGCGGCTGGGAGCGGCGCGCGTCCGGTGCGCGAGGCGGAGGCGGCAGGAGCAGCAGTGCCACCTCAGCGGTGGCCGCCGAAGAAAGGGCACTGTTGGGGCGCGGAGCAGGGAGGAAGAGGGTTTGGTTTGGGGTTTGGTGACAGAGAAGAAAGGCCGCGCGCGGAAGCGGGGTTTGGGGGGTTTTGCGCCGTATCTTACGGGCGGGTCCCGCTGTCCAGTGAGGGATGGTAGGCACCTCATGAATGAAAGATATCTGCTTCCTGTCAGAATTTTTGCTACCTTCTAGTACTATATATTTTTTCCTATTAGATATGTGCCCGTATATTTCACTGGCGTCACATTTTTTTTGAATTAAACTTCAGCAAGCGGTGGCGGACGTGTGAGTTCCGACGATACAGATACATGGATCCGGTCTTCGTGGTAACTGGGTAGGACGTGGATGTGTGAACTCAAAGTGGAGTATAACTCAGGACGTGGATGTGTGAACTCAAAGTGGAGTATAATTCGTATTGGAGGCGGATGCGTGAGCGTGAGAAGATTTTGTATCACCGTCTAGATGATGACTTTGTCTTTTTAGCGTAGAGATTAAAACATATAGGATGCGTCGCCTTATAGACAGTACATGACCTCAAGCTTTTGAAATTCGTGCACCTGTCGTTCATCAGCCTGTTCGTTTGGCTGTGGCTTGTTGTAAACGATCGTAAATTTCCAGCCGGAACAGTATATTTTCTCTCACACAAACCGCCCACAGTACTTCTTCACGAACCAACGACAAAACGAACCAGCCAACCGAACAGCTTCCATGTCCATGAACCGCCCAACCATGACAGTTGACGGGTTTAAAATTTGACATTAAAAATTCTCATCTTGCTTTTGAAAGTAAAGCTCAATTTACATGAACAACGCTCGCGTCAAACCCTCTGCTCCTCATGGACGGGGGCAACGCGCAACAGCCAGCACACACAGGTGCTAGCTCTTCGAGTGAAATGAAACTACGAAAGCACGTCCAAACTCTACGAATTTTGAAATGAAACTACGAAAGCAGAGCAGGAGCAGAGCAGAGCGTTGGCATCCCCTGCAGCTTCAGTCGCAAATCGGCGTGATCTGTCGTCCTCTCAGGAGAAGTTCACGCGGGCCTCGTACGTGAGCCCGAGGCACCAGTTGGCCGGCGCGACGTCGGTGGCGACGATGGTCTGCCGGGTGGTGTAGGAGGTGACCTTGAAGCTGAGCGCCTGACCTCCGAGCTGCGCGAACGCCTGGTACGCGGCGCCCCAGTTATGGCTCATCCGTATCCACGCGCAGGAGGCGCCGGTCTTGACCCACATCTCGACGACGTCGCCGGCGCCGCCGACGTTCATCACGTACGCCAGCAGCCAGTAGGGGTTCCCCTGGAGCGCGAAGCGGAGGCCGCCCCTGCGCACGCAGGGCACCCGGCGGTACATGACGGGCACGATGCCCGCGCGCCACTGCGCCATCTTCATGAAGGCCGGCTTGGAGAGGTCGAAGTGGGTGCGGGGCGGGTTGCACCACCCGCCGTTGTTGGAGTCCTGCGCCCAGTTGGGCGGGCACAGGTTGGTGGCCGTCACCGTGATCACCGGCGAGCCGCTGTAGCACCAGGGGGACCCCGTGCACCGGATCTGGTAGCACGTCCCGCACCCGTACCCGTCCTTGAACAGCGTCGTGCTCAGCGCCGCCGTGTCCGTGCCGTACCCGGTCGCGTACAGGTTGCCGTACCCGCACGCCCCACCTGTGGAAACCGTCGGACGCCCCGGCCGTAAGAGAAATGACAAATGCATGCCAAGAGGAAACGAGCGTGGCAGTGCAATGCCGGCCGCGATGTGAGCAACGTACCCATGGTCTCCGCTGCGGTCTCGTCGCCGTAGAACGTGGCGTGCGCCGGCGTCCAGTGCATCGCCGTGAACCTCGCGTTCGCCGTGGTGGCCGCACATAGCAAGGCGATGATGACAAGGGCCAAGAAGGCTGTGCCTGTGGAGGGAGAAGCCATTACTACTCTGTTTTGTTGCTGCTCGTGGTGTTGTGCTGTTCTTCGCTTAAGGCAGTTGAGCTCTGCAGACAATGCAAGGGGCGACTGTATTTATAGCTTGCGCTGGATCAATCAGAGAGGAATCCGGTGATGATTGGGACCAACACATTGTTCACGACGACCTCCCGCAAATCCGCAACGACGTGCACGCACGCCGGCGAGGCATGGGGATTGGCACGGTGCACCGGCCATACGTGCGGGCAAGAAACAGGGCTGTACCCTGATATTCTATCGGTTTGTTGCCGGTGCGGCTGATTGGATATTGCGAGTGTGTCTTCTGACTGAAATTTTTAACGTGTTTCGTCCTTTTAGAATGGGGAGAATGTTTTTTCGTGTATTTGGTTGACATTTGGTTCGGAATCTGGGCTTCTTGAGAAGTCATATCTCTTCTTTATCTACAACTAACGACGGATTGTCAACATCTATTCGGTAGAATCAAAACACTCATGCGATCCATGACTATCCGGCATAAAAAAAATCTCCTTGCGATCCATGACTACCCGACGCAGAAAAGGAAATTCCCCTAACCCCTACACGGCTGCTATGCCCGGCTCTATCCTGCACTCCTCCCTCACAGGTTCTTTCGGATCTTTTCATGCATGGATGCATGCACGTGCACCCGGCTCTAACATGCAGCCGTGGTATTCTTATCTTTTCGACAAATCCAGAAAGTACAGCTCACGGGAAAAATCAAGAATGAGGGAAATGTTAACGCCCACCGGCAGGCAAATAATCACCGCATGAAGACACTAGAAGACAAGTAAATAAAATGGAATAAAACGAAAAGAGAATTATGGGAAGAGAAAGGAATTTATTGGAATATCACCACGTAATGATCATGCTCGTGATCCAAATCTCGTTTGTTGTCCTTCGCGTTGCGTGTTGACAAAAAATGAATTGTTGCCATACCTCATGTGCGCTAGGATATTGTAAATCTGAGTATACATGTTTTGGGCAAGGCAGAGCATATTTTAGCCTTTGAGGCAACTAATGTTTGTCGTAACTTTCAGACAACAAGCTCCAATCCTAGCTTTTATTTCAGATTCATTACAATAATGAATGTGTTTCTAGACATTATCGTGGTATAATACACGTGAAAAATTAAATTGATATATTTTTAATTTTGACTTGGCTAACAAACATCTCATTCAATTTATGTTGCACTCGTTGTAGCGCATGGGCACTCATCTAGTTGGGAAAAACAATTCCATCTTATCCAAAAAGTACTGAAGGGAATTTAAAAAAAAGTACTGGAGGAATGTAGCATAATGATTTAGTTACAAGACATTATAAATAAATATGGTGATTTGATCTTTTATTACTTGGTGCTGATAAATGGTCAACTCTGTTAGTGTAGATGTGTAGTGTAGTGTTTTTTCTGTTGTGGAGGGAGTGAGATGGTTTCATGATTCATCCCAATAAGATTGTGTTTAAATCTTAGAAGTAAAGTTTAGGGATGTCACATCGGGTGTCACATCAGTGTATGATATGATAGTGTTCGGACAGTAATAATAAAATAAATTACAGAAGTTCTCAGTAATCTGTGAGACGAATTTATTAAGCTTGTAGCACCACATTGTCAAATCATAGACTAATTAGACTTAAAAAATTCGTCTCGTAAATTAGTCGCAATATGTACAATTAGTTATTTTTTAGTCTATATTTATTACTTTATGTACATGTCAAATATACGATGTGATAGAGAGTAAACGTTACATGAGAGGAACTAAACAACGCCTAATTCTGCGTCAGCCCAACATGAAGGCCGGTGTGCACCTGCGGTGCCCGGTGCATTCGCAACAACACTGCTGCCATGAAACAAGAAAGGAAGGAATTTTATTGTGGACAACCGTAAACGGACGGACTCTCATTGGCTCGTCTCATGCAAGGGCATATGCTATTTTTAGGATAGTCGATTATTTCAGACCATTCCAATCGTTTCTGCATGCAGTCGGGAACTCAGGATCTAGTTTCGTATCAAGCTCCGCCACTGTTCGGAGGCGATGATGACAATGTCTCAGAAACAGAAAGGCAGACGAGGATCAAAATTCCCTAAGGGCCTGTTCGGTTCTTGGGGTTCTGAGATTAGGAACTGTTCCGACCAGAAACACTTATCTAATTTATATACGCTGCTCTCGACCAGGATCTATTCCTGCCCAGAACCACCCTAAACCAACACGCCCTAAGCTTCTGTTCGGTTCTCTGGGGAACCGTGGCCGGGAACAAATCCAGCCAGAAATATGTGTCTAATTTGTATAAGCTTCCTCCAGGTAGAATGGTTCCCGCCTCTGTTCCAAGCCAAACGAACGAGCCCTAAGGCGCCGTTCTGTTAGGCCATTCTTGACCATTCCAGGACAGGAATAATTCCAAACTAGTATAAATTATCGAAGAGACCAATCGGTTGGGAATCAATTCCCTGCAAATGAACAAAGCCTAAGGCCCTGTTCGTTTGCATGAGAATGAATCCCGGCTGAGCAGTTTCTTCACTAATTTGAACTAGCAGGGATTATTTCCAAGCACAGAATGCCCTGTTCCGGGATAACCGAACGGGGCCTAAGGAAAACCACAACTCACTAAACACGGAAAATCGCCCAAACAAACGGGACATAGTTTACACACTAGACATGGATGATGCAGCCTCCAGCAGCTACCCTCCATTTAAATCCGGCTTGAGACGGGGCCGGCTCCGCTCATAGAAGCGTCACATTATCTCACTCGCAGGCACGTACGTTTACCAACGCGACATCTGCTGCATCGGGGGCGCAGACATGGTGTTCAACGTGCCGTCCCTCTTGTCCATCTCCACCTTGTGCTGCGTCTGAAGTTTGCAAGGCAATGTATGCCAGATTGTGAGTCTTAATCAAGAAGGGGATTACCTGAATACCTGAGCTGACATGGATGAGAAGTGGATGTGCAATTACCTGCATGCACGAGCAAACCCTGCAGAAAGAACAGAGCAGCACAAGATTAGCAAGGCTGTGGGTGTCAGTTTTAAAGATGCCAAGATGGATTAGAGTCGTCAGAGCCTGGGGTGGGGGATCGAGCGAGAGGCAGGCTTACGTCCAGTAGACCAAGTTGGACATGCAGGAGATGACGTGCGCCACCTCCGAGAGCTCGCTGTTGCCGACGATGCAGGCGACTAGGGAGCAGATGCAGGCCAGCTGCTGCAGGAAGAACATGAAGGCCTGCAACGACAGGGAAGATGAGTGTCACTCACTCGACAGGCCGGCCTGCTGCAATTATCATCAGTTCGGAAGATCAAATCAGATCATCAGGAGGCGAATCGAAGCTACGCACGATGATGCAGTTGTCGCACTGCGTCGTCTGGATGTTGAACTCGTCCTGCAGCAGGAACCGGGTGGAAGCAACCGAGTTGCCGAAGCAGCAGAACACCTGAGAAGGGACAAGGGAGCGTGGTCAGCACCATGCATACGACGCGAGGTGTATCCGGCTGAGAAAACGGAACAGAGAAACAGCGATAGCATATGCGTATCAGGTCACGCAGGCGTCACCTCGGTTGCAAGGCATACTTCCGGACACCGGCTCTCACCGCACTTGCCGCTGCACGGCATGTACCCAGCGCAGCACACGTACCTGGAAAACGCACAGGAACACAAGCAAGCATGGAGAGAGTTAACGCTGCAAGTTAGCTGCACGATGACAGAGGAAGGTGCAAAAGAAAAAAAAGGTAGAACAAGAAGTTTCAGTACCTTGACATGTCATTGTAGAGCGCGCGTCTGCGCAGCATGTAGGACACGCAGGGGCCGCTGGACACCAACAGGAGGGGAAAAAAGATGTGTATCTAAGTTACATGATACTGAGCAAGCAATCAACCAGAAGTGAGAAGTCGAGAAATCAGAGAACGAGCCCCACTCACCACCACAGCGACAGGCAGCACCCTGCAGAGGAGCAAAGGGAGAAAATCCCGCATCAGTTCCTCTATCACACGAGACCACAGCCACAGCCACAGCCAGAAGGCCAAGCGCCCGAAAGAAAAGGGAGAAGAGGTTCGCAGGGATGTCGGGTACGCACACGGGAAGTCCGCAGCGACGGCGTTGGTGAGGTCGGTGTGCCAGACGTTGCGGTAGCTCTGCCGCAGCTCCATCTTCTCCAGCATCGCCTGCGACTGCGCCCCCGCCATCTCGCCGCTCGGATTTGCTGCGCCGGCGACCGCAAGCTAGCACAAGACGGGGAGCTCTGGCAGTGCACGCACGCCCAGGGACGGTTGCTGTGAGCTGCTTTAATGGTCGGGTGCGCGTCGCATTTCTTCCTCTCGCGTAACGCCCCGGGCCGGCACCACGGCGTTCATTGGAAAGCTTTGACGGGTCCAACGCACGCGACGACCCAAGGCAGGCGGTCGAGGAACGGCCGGGCTGGAGACTTGTCAATTGTCAGCAGGCACTTCTCGATTGTAAAGTCGCTTGGATTGTAGAAGAAGCTTGCAGCAAAAGTCCGTGCAGTTGCGCGTCCGGGAGCCGGCTACCAATTTGGTCGTAGCGTTTGTCGCTTCCAGTGCCGGACTGAAATAATACTGCAATAAACATTAAGGCTTCGTTCGTTTGCAGGGAATTGATTCCCAGCGGATCGGTCTCTTCGATAATTTGTAGTATTATTTAGAGCCCAACGCCTTAACTAGCATATATATATATATATATGAATATAAATATTTATGACATCAAATTAGTATCATTATATACACTGTCAAATACAATTTCATGGTGCAATTATTTGTGGTTATATATGTTGGTACTTCTTACTATAAAGTTAGTCAAATTTGAAATGTTAGGAAAGTCAAGAAGTTGAATTATTATAGAACATGGTAGTAGGCTATTTTTCTTCTAGGCACAAAAGTTCAACTACTGAAATTGAGATTTTTTTTCTATCAATTTCTCTGGTTTTTGCAAAGTAATAATAGATTATGTTTAGTTGTCTCGTTGGATGGAAAATCTGTGTGCCTGCAACCTGCTACATACGGCATGCAAAAAGACCATTGGGCAGTCCATGCAGACACTTGCGCTTCCATAGCGGGCTTAAGTGGGCCGGCCTGCAACGTCTATTAGGCTTATTAATCGTCTGAACTCTGAACCTACCAATCCTCCGTCACCTGCATCATCAGGAGGGAGTCAGGGTCCACTGACCCGCAGAGCATCCTTGCCGGTTGCCGCCGGTCCCTGTTCTCCAGCCTCCACCCGTTCATCTCTCGCCTGCGGCGGTGCGGGCTGCCTTCAAACGGTGTGCCTCCCATTTGATGGCCGCGATTTTAAATTTTTGAGACACTTTAGACCTTAATTTGTGGCACGTGCTATGTGTTGTTTTTGTCTTCCATCTCGTTCGCAATTGAAAGCAAGCGTCGGCAGCTGTCCACAAACCTGATGCGTCTTGCCGCTAAGCCCAGCAGGTGGGCTGTATGCTAGTAGTGGGAACCGCGGGACAAGCAAAATATGCTAGCAGCTAATGCAGTGACCCGTTTTTCTTTTTCTTTTTTTGATCGGAGGATATGCAGTGACCTGCCTGCATACTAATGGCAGCGGCGGGTCAAGTACGACAAGTTGGATTAGTCCTCATTAGCATACCGCGGGACAAGCGTGCATTTCGTCTGCTGCAGCTGAGACTGAACAGTGAACGCGTCGCATTGCCGCGGCTGCTCGCTGCAACATCGTGCTGTTCCAGTTCCACACGCGCGCGCGCGCGCAGCTGCAGATTCGAACAGTAGCCGCATAGCTCACAAATCACACAATAATACATGAGTCCATACGTACTTGACATCGCAGGTGTTCCCTTTTTATCACGTATACCCTGCTATTAAGAGCCTATTTAGTTGCACTTCATTTTGCAAAATTTTTCAAGATTCCCCGTCACATCGAATCTTTGGACGCATGCATGAAGCATTAAATATAAATAAAAAATAAAACTAATTACACAGTTTAGACGAAATTTACTAGACGAATCTTTTAAGCCTAATTAGACTATGATCGGACACTAACTGCCAAATAACAACGAAAGTACTACAGTACCATTTCGCCAAAAATTTTGCCAACTAAACACTACCCAGGCTCACGTTTGGATGGAGATGGGGATTGGGATAGGGATAAAGAGATGTATCATATCCGTTCGTTCTTTACACCTCATTTAATCCTAGCCACTCATTCATTTCCCTTTTCCTATCCCACCTCATGTATCCTAATATCCAAACGGCACCTAATAAGACGTTCGTGTCCCTACTATTTCATGTTCGGCTCGTGAAGTCGTGACCATGTCAATAAGAGAGACAAAAAATCCTTTTATGAACGAGGAAGATTGCTTAGAGAAAGCTGGCATTATTATTATTATTACCCTATTCGCTGATGCTGAAATTTAGTTTATGCAGAAATGTTGTGAGTTTCATAAATAAAAAATAGTTTTAAATAAGCTCAAGCGAACAGGACATATAAAACTGAGCGTGAAGTGGAAAGGAATTGCTTGGTTCTTGTGCGGGCAGAGCTGACCGAAGTGTGTTAAGCTAGGCCGCGAGGCGTCTAAACTTTATAAACCCTGATATCCAAACAGAGCTAAGCTGAGTTATCAAAAAAAAAAAAAGTGCTGGCCTGTACGAGAGCTACTTAAGCATCTTCACGGCGTATATCCAATAATAACCCGAGGGAGGAGAGGAGAGGGCGCATCAAGCGCTCCGAAACAAAATCCAAACTCAACTGCAACTCCAACTCAGATCGTGATGCACGAGAACCGCAGAATTGAAAACGCCTCAGGCCTCGACTAGCTGGCATATAAGGAGTTCTATATACTAGTACTTTCTCTTCGTCGTCACGTCTGTTCGTCTCCATCGGGACAATCGGCTTGGATTGGATGGGTTAATTAGCTAGTCCCGGGGTCCCTACGAACTGCCTGATTGCTCACGTTTATTTGTTTATAAGAAAAATGGAAGGAGACTGATTCATCGTGCTCGTATCGTATCGTGTCGTGTCTCAATTATACTACGAGTAGTTGGGTAGTAACACAACTATTAATTAATTAATCGGCTGCAGGCGGTTAGCTGTTATCGGGGGCGCTACGCTGAGCGCCTCTGCCTCCACTTGGCTGATGGCTATCGGTTCCGACTTCTTTGATTCTTTCTTCTAGATATAGAACAAGACAAGATGAGTAGACCCGCGCGCATCGGCGTGCACTCGCTCGCGTCCTGCGTGCGCGCCATGTGGTTTTCGAGGCTTCGAGCCCCGCTGGCTGGGTCGGCTTGGGCTCTGCCTCCCCCGGTGCCGCACGCAAGTACGCAACACATGTCCGCCATGTGTTCCACCGCGATAGCGCCGGCCAATCTTACGGTCGTCCCGATACCAAGGGCGTGTCTGGGTGAGCCGGACGTTATACCGTTCGAGCTTATTCATAGCTATTTTTCAGTCATAAAATAATATATTTTTTTTCATAATATTTTATCATAAACATCAGCATAAGACAAATTTCAACATAAGCCAAATTAGGAGGGCCAGTCAAAAAGAGCCAACATGACAAACGAGGTAACTCAGCTGGTTAGGTTTCTCGTGGTACTTGTTGGGCGTCTATGTTAATTCATTAACCTGATGGGTTATTGTATTTTTTTATATGTATATCCTAGAATCTAAGGCAATGTTGTTTTAATGGTAGGAAACATGCCCGCTGACAGTAAGACATCTACGGAAACTTTGTAAATCTTGAGTACTGACTCACACGGGTGGATCTAGCGGTGGGGCGAATGAGGCTCAAGCCCCTCCTACCACCTTCGTGACTATGGAGCCTCTCCTATATTTTGAGCCTCTCCTATATTTTTTTAAACATGAACGAAAAATGAGGGACTCTAGAGGATGAAGATGACTTTAGCCTCCTCTTCTATTAAATTCTAGATCTGCGATTGCCAACTCATTCGTTCGGAGATGCTCATATCAACGATTTTATTTAACCTATTCGGCTGATTGTCAAGACCACTGATCCAGCTGTTGCTGCTGCATGAGTATTGCTGACAATATAAACCTTTTGGATGGATGAAAGCTGCAGCTGCAACTAGCAGCCGAACAAGTGTAACATCTCTGGTGTTACGAGCTTACTTAGCATCTAGATTAAGGCCTAAGAGAAATTAGCAAAATAAGTTCTCGAGTTTTAAAAATTTAAAACACACATGAAATGATAAACAAACCCTGCACGACTCACTTTTATGGTTGAGAGAAATCAAGTAAATATCTAAGTTAATTTACTGAGTGCGTAAATATGCTAATGAAAATCCTAACAAGAAGAATAAAATAAATAGTTTTAATTGTTTGGTAAAAAAAACAATTTCTATAAACAAAAATAAAATGTAACTTGTGTATATTGCTTATGTAAAAATGATGAGCAAGTGGTGTAGGTGAAAATGCAACTTTAATTTTTGAAAAATAAACATGTTAACTAATGTTCTTGGGAGCTCCAAAAATCAAATTGGGAATTAAAATCAACCTTTTCGTTAAGTCAGCAAAGATATGAACTTATGTTAAAGTACTATTTTTGGCGAGTTATATTAAGCAAAGTAATTAAATAGTGCTTAAATATTTTGTTCCTATGGTTTAGTATAAAGTATGGACTATTGTATGGAGTACTTGTTGGTTGAAGTTAATCAAGATTAGGCCTTTTAAAAATTGTGGCAAAAGTGTTCATGGTTGTTAAGTTCAAACTAAACTCTTGTCTTTTCTAAGTTTGAAAGAGTAGTAGACAATGCCATTTTGGTGTTTAAATTCTAACTAAAATGTTTAAAGACTAGTTTCATATTCTTGTTTTGTTGGTTGCATCTAAGTAAGCTCTTGGGCATGGTGTAGGTCATAGTTGCCTTGGGTGTCGCGTTGCTCCCTTAAAAATTCTCCAAATTTCGTTGGAACGCGGTGTAACCATCCTGTTGACGCTTTGTTCATGAACTGGCGTTCCGCGCGACGAGCTCATGTTGACATCCTTCTACCCCCCTCTTTGGTTGCTCTCTGGCCATGGCGATGGCTTTGCTAGGTCGCTGGTAATGTTGACTTTAGGATAGTGGAATTCGTTGGGCCTCAATTGTGATGGTTAGTAGCTTTTACTTTGCTTTAAAATGCCTGCACGCCACCAATAGCAGTCGCTCGGTCTGAGTTCACGATCACCGCGGGCACAACGCTA